TTTTGAATGAGAAAAATTAGGAAACAGAAAAATTGAATGTAAGAGAAATTTAGGAAACAAGTATTCCAATTTGGTGCTAAGGAAATAGACAGTGGGATGCAGGGTAAGAGATATGGATAAGCATGGAATTTTGTAGAACTGTGAAGATATGGATGAACGTTTTTGGCTGGATATGGAAGGAGAAAAACTTGCAGAGAAGAAATACAAATATATATATGCAGAACTATATATATATATATAGTTGAGAATTGAGAGTTTCCTTGAATTCCTCTGAGGATCAATAATTTTATTATGAACAGAAGCAGATCAGATTTTTTATTCATTAATTTCTATGAGTTTAATTTGGTGTCTGGGATTTAGTACAGTAAAAAAATATTAGCAAGTTATCCTTGCTTATATTTCTAATGCTCCACATATAGCACTTTTGTAACTGTATGAAGAAATCTGAAAAGGCATATTTAACTACAGCCAGGTCTTTGGGGGTGGTTTTATGCAATTTGCTTATTCTGCTGCTATTGTCCCATAGTTGTGACATTTTACAGAGAGAAACAGATACATAATAGTTGAGATCTCATGTCTTCCTACCCACATGATGTCTCCTTAAGTTAGGATATTACTTAAGTTAGGATGTTCTTGACCACCTAACTTCTTTTTACTTTTTCCCTTTATTACTCTCACAATTCACTTTTTTGCTGTTTATTTGAATATGTACTTGAAAATAGTATTATAATTATTTAATCTGATATACAGCAATATCTTCTCTCTGCTTCTACTTTTGCTGGAAAGGCAGAACTGCATATTTGATGTTCATTCCCCACTGCCTCCTGAGTGCCAGCAGTGTCCGTGTGAAAACTCTTGGAAGGCAGTGGAGAAGCAGGAAAAGGCCAAGTGCCAGATGAGACCTGAAAGGCACTATGTAGGGAAATATTTCAAAATATCTGGAAGGTGAAGATTGGATGCCTGATACCTGGTAGAAATGAGTAGTTAATGTCTGGTTTTGTCGTTTCTGTGTTAGCAGTTTGGTGACTATTAGATCAAGAGGGGAAGAAATCTTTGTTAGGTGTCAGGGCCACAATTCCACACTTTAGGAATTTGGAAAATTATCAGAACCAGTGGAAAAAATCAGTATGAGTGCAGTGTGTTACATTCAGCACCAAGTGAAAATAATTAATCTGGTTTATGCAAAGCATGAAGCTGCAAATTTATGAATGCCTGGGCTTTAATTACATGTTTATATTTGGTGATTGTGCTTCCCTCCTTTATGAAATGACTACAAATAAGAGCAGTTAAGTGAATTCACTTGCATCTCTGTTTTACTTCATCCATCCAAGGAAAAGCCTCTGCAATGAGGAGAAGCACTTTTACAGCCTGAGCATGTTTCCATCACAGTTTTAATTTCCATCTGTCTCACTGAAAATGGGAGACAGTGTGAAAGGAAGGGGGGTCCCTTAGGGAGGTGCTCCCCTTTGCCACGTTTGTGTCACCAAGTGTGCCACAGGTTTAAGTGCTGTTTGTGGAGAGCTCAGGCAGCCACATCTCCCCTGGGTATCCACAGGGCACTGCAGCCTCCCAGGCCAGTGGCCAAGAGATTTTTATCATCAGGAAACGCAGAGTATAATGAGCTGGTCCTCAGTGAAATCAAACATTCACTTTTCAGAAAGAGGAGGGAGGTACAAATGCTTCTCTCCTGATACCTTGAAACTCTGAGGTCAGAAATACCCACTGGGCCTTTCCGTGCCTTCTGTAGGCAATAGGCCCTCCTACAAATGTCTTTGTTATTAATTCTTTTGAACCTTGAATACAGGTTATTTTCCACTAAAATATTATTTAAATTTTTAAGATTACTATTTTGTGAATCTGTTGGAATAGTCCTTTAAATTTTAGATGCATTAATTTTAGATGCATGCATCTATTAATTAGTTTTACAGTTAATCTAGCAGTCACAAAAATTCACATTTCCCCAATTTGTATGCCCAGAGTGTAAAATCCTTGGAGTTTTTGTGCTGTAAGTCTTATGAGTAGTAAAATATATTTTTTTTTAAAGTCATCTCTATCCTTTCATCTTCTTAGAGGCTATTTAAACAAACCCCAACACTTTTATTCCGTGTCCTTACTAACATTTGCAAATAAATGACAGCCAAGTCATAGTACTGTATAGCTGAAAAGCCTGGTTGGTTTTTAAACACAGGTGCTTCAGTAGCTCTGTATACACAAGTGTTGCTTAAATGCACACTGCCTTTTTAGACATCTTTATTTACACAAATGAAAACACCTGAAGACTGAGATTAATTGCCTTTCAAAAGAAATGTTTAGTGATTAAAAAAAAAAGATTTTAAAGAATTATCTCAGGATATATTTTCTCTTCTATATAAGGCAAAATATTATTCAGAAAATAGGAAGACGCAATAATTTTTATAATCAGAATTTCTGTTCTCTAGATTTAACTAGCTGTATATAAATAGCACACTTATATCTTCCCAGTGTTCAGATTGATAAATATCTGTATGTTGTGTCAGATGTGGCTAAAGCTCTCCCTGCTGCTCTCTATTTACTGAACACGAGTGGATTAATTGGGGTATACTTTTATAGTTGCATGTGTATTTTACATCTTGCATTAGATAAAACAAGAATTTTACCTGTATTGAAAATGGTGATTCAGAAAACTGAACTGAAATGAAAACAGAATGAAAGCATGCAAAGAGCCTGGCGTAAAGGGTCAAGGCCTATTTGAGCAGGATGTTATATTGTATTTGACTTTGCTTTAAAGAAAGTGTTAGAGCATTCTCCATGTTTTATATCTTGTGCCATTTTAATTGAAACTAGGAATTCTAAGAGTGAAGAGAACTTTGAATATTTGAAAAATGGGACAATTTCCTAGCTGTTTAATAACTTTTTCTTCTAGGTTCTGCCAGTTTGTTTAGGCAGTGTGTTACAGTATTGCTAGAATCCAATATTAACATTCCACAGAGAATTCCCACAGCATGATAATATAGGAGTCTTCAGGGCAGCTGTGATGAAAAATATAACTGTTCTACATTTTTAAGCAGAGCTAAACTAGATCAGCTGTCTAGATCAAAATGAGCTGGAAAGACCAATAGCAAGTTTCCAAATATTGGCATTCATAAATGCATCATTTTTTCCTTAAGTGTTAGAAGTATAAAATATTTTAACTAATTGCTTAATATAAGCATAGAACAGGTTGCAAAACAGTCTGGAACAGAAAAAAAAATATAATTAATTGCTTCTGACTGAAAAGTTTAATATATATTTTTATGTATATATATGTATGTCTGTATGTATGTCAAACCAAACCCAAATGTTTGGATATTAAAAGCAGCATGCAGTTCTCAGCATTGTCTTCCTAGCACCTGAACTATAAAATAAGCTTTTCCTGAGTAGCTTTAATATAACTGCTAAAAGAAACATCTGCTCAACAGCTGCATTTTCTTTTCACTGTGAAATGCTCCAGATTGTGTCATCCTTTCTATTCCACTGATTGTCAGCATCTGAATCTTCATGTTCTAGCATTTGTCAAGGGTGACTCCTAAAAGCCTTGGGCTGTGTTGGAATCTGAATGCATGACATAAACATGACATTTTTCAAATGTAAAAACATCAAGGATGAAACAATGTAGGATGGTCCTAAGTTTTAAAGACTGGGAGAAAATGTTTACCTTGAATTTAATTTTGAAAAATTACATTTGTTGTAATGAAGTCCCTGCATATATGGATCAATACATGGAAATCCTGTATTTTGGTACTCAGTGTGTATCTAATCTACTGTGATTGATAACCCCATGTCATAATACTTTGCTTACATCTGTGTGACTCTAATCTGGTATATATTGCACAGAGGTCTGTGAACAGTCTACTTTAAAGAGTTACAAATGGTTCAGTACAAACTGTCACATTTCTTAGAGTTAATCTTGTGTTATAAAAATGAAGCAACAAAATGTCATGGCTCCTGTTAGCTGCTGAAGTGGGAAGAGGAAATTGTGCATTTCAGAGAAGGACAAAGGACTAGAAGTGTGGGAAGGTATCTCCATACTGAAATTTGGGTGGTTTTACAGATTGGCAGTACCAAAGTAAGCTTTTTTCAAACATTGTCACTTGGACTTTTTATATAAACAAATCTGTCATCTGTGTTTTAGAATTGTGAGTCAGAAGGCTTTGGGAATTAACTCTGCAGCTGCCTGGCACTATGCAGCCAGGATATGTGTACAGGGATGCACACACAGCAGTTCTGTACATTTGTACTCAGCTGTGCAAATTCAAAATGTGCCCTGAGACAGGTGGTCATAGTAAAATGAACTCTCCTGTAGGAGTTAGTGGTTGTGTTAAAACACTTCTCATCCATAAAATGTGTAAAACTTTTTAATGGATTAGCAGCTTGAGATTCTTTTCCTCATAGAAATGTTCCCTTCTGTGCACAAATTACTATTGTATACTGAATATCTCAGTTTCCTTTATTACACCTGGAGCAGACATTTGATTCAAGAAGCTCAGCTGTTTATTTTTATATCATTACTACTTGGCCTTTTCATAGTTGCTTCTGGGAAGGAGAGAAGAGGCTGCTTCACTGCATCTTCACTATTTCTCTGTATTCTGTGTCTCGGGCTTGCAGCCATCAATGGCATTGATGTCCTTAATTATGGGGTTTTTTCAATTGTCCCAATGGCATTACTCAAAAAGAGTATTATGAAAATTTCATTTAGCTGATGAACTAGAAGTATCACACCAGACAGAGCAATATTGCTATTACCATTCACATATCCCAAGTAAGTTTTCCAGCTTCTATTTTGCTGGAAACTATATAGCCTGTCATATGAAATTGGAAGATTTTATTATGGAGTCAGAAGGAAATCACTTAAGTTTTAGATAATTGCTAGTTTTACTCATTTGTCATTTTTATTAACAAATGGAAGAATTGTAACACTGAGCAACCAACTGTGTGAAATTACAATGCACACAGGCTGATATTTTTTCTTCTGTATCATTTAGGTTCCTCTGCAACACTGGAATTTCTGTATGAATTGCGATATCAATCAAATGAAATTAGATCTCAGCTTGAATCTTCTGTTGGTATGGAGCTGGTTGAAAAAGAATGGGATACAGAATCCAGAATTGTAACACTGATCTTTAATGTAGTGTTTGCACCTAACAAACCAATGAGGTAAGATCCTGTTCCTTACTACCAAAAGAACATGTAATAAAACCCTGTCTGCTCACTCTTCCTTATATAATAATTTCTATGCATTCTTTTCCTCATTTTGTTTTCACCTCTGAGATCTGTTGGTTTAGATCTTCTCCCTTGCTGCTTCTGAGTACGATATCTTTGGTGTTAAAACTGACAGTGTTTATTTTTAGTGCCTGTGAGATGGTTCTGCTGAGTTCCTTCCATAGTCTGTATGTACATCATTTTACTACAAAACATTGGCACATTGAAAGACTCCCAATGAAAATCATTTGTTCTCATAATTCCTAAAAACATACAAACATAATTCCTAAAAAAATACAAACAAGATGAAGTCTTGGAAAACTTTTTATAGACAAGCATGTGTACGTATTCTTTGACTGGATGGGATAGTTGAATTTGAAATTAGTTTCTACTGCCCCAGTAACAATGATCCACAGGAAATTATTCTCCTTTTTTAGATTGTGATGTGACAGATCATGTGTATGCGTTGTTTACATAAGACCATATCCCTTCTTTAAAAAGAAACTTGAAGGGAGTCCCTTTTGGAGAGAGGGAGGCTGCCCCTTCCTTTGGGTACAGGCAGATGTGGGTCATTAAGAGGTTGAAAAGAAGCTTTTGTGACCTGCAACTACAAAGTAAATCCAGAGTCCTGACATTACCAGGAATGTTAGGGAACCGTCACTGCTGAGTATCACGGATTGCATAAAAAGTTATCTTCAAGAGGCAGGAGGTTACTCTTTATTTGCAGTAGTCCAGAAGGTTAATGAAATAAACAAAGAGCAAACCTTTAGAAAGAATGATCCACCCACCTGATTCAGTGTCATTGTGTCAGAGGGAGGTGAATTTAGAAAGCCTTGTCATTTCTGCTCTGTCAGGGGTTTATTTTATTTTATTATTTTTAAATTTGGGTTGGATTTTTTTTATCTTTATGTGCTTAAGATCTAGGCTTCCTGCAGAGAACTCAATGACTGCAATTAATTAGTTTTGTTATCTTCAGAATCTACAGCACCAATTCTCTTAGACAGTCCAAAGTCATCACAGTCTGGCATTTTCCTTAAGTACATAGACCTTTGTTAGATCTATTTGATCCTACTATGAACTGCTAATATGTTCTGGACAAAATTTTCTAACATCACAGTAAATACAGAATAATTAGTAAAATACATGTAGGGTTTTGTTTGTTTGTTTGTTTTATTATTCAAAAGAGAGCAAGCAGAAGAATAAAAACTCATGGCTGTGCCAGGAATTTTACTTCCATATTATGTTCTTTCCATATTATGTTTTTTAGATATTTGTCTAACTATCTAGTGCTATTTAATCTACATTCCAGTCAAGTTTTTCCACTCAAAATTAGGGATGTATTCCAGTTTAAAGTAATTAGTATTTTCATTTTACTGCAGTTTACTTTTACACACTCAAAGATTTTTTTTTTAGATTAATCATTTCATGTTTTATAATGTTTTTCTATTTATTGACTGTTGTTTTCTGAAATTTTAAGGAATGAGGCAACTGTTGTGATTCAGTGTACTGCAGGAGGCCTTTGGAAGTTTCCATTGGTGTTCATTGCCACAGAGCCAGAAGTGGATGATGTGATCAACATTGAAGCACTTGGCCTCAATAAGGAATCCATAGTTGGCTTTAAGCTCACAAGCCAGACAAGGTAAAACACTCAAGAATTTATGCACTTTCCTGAGGGTACAACTCCTACTCAAACACATTGGTTAGAATAAATTTGGGCAACACAAATAGCTGCAAGTGGGATGCAGCTATTTCATCCTTATTTTCAAGAGCTGCATTGTTGAAGTGACAAATGTGATTTTGAAGCTTTGTTGTAGAAAACAGAAGCATTTTACATGTAGACTTTGGCTTGAGAGAAAATCTGTGGAACAAGTCCAGATGTTTATGTTGTGATTTTTTTTCCCTAAAAGGCTTGGGAGGATGTTAAAATGTGTAATACAATGTTAAGGAATGATAATAATTTTGTGCTATTAAAGGCTCACTAGTAAAACTTTAAAAGCTAGTGCTTTTACTAATAGATTTTTTCAAGGTACTTTATGCTTACACCAATTTAAAAACATTCCCTCACACTGTGCTTTAAAAATTTTTAAATGTGCCATTCTTTTTAAAGTACTCCTATTGTATTATGTAAGTGTGCTTTGAATTAATCTCTACTTCCACTTGCTAAAATAATGGTGTAATTCTTCAGTATTTTGTTACTCTCCTTTATTCATAGTCCTGCAGAAACCCCTGTTAATATATAATTTTTGCATATTTCAGTTATTTTCACAGAGTTTTACAATGTTATGGTAAACTTGTAATACCTTTTGTATACAGCAAGAAGTCAAAGAATAAATTGTGTGGTAATGATAGATAAGTTTTAAAATATTAAACAAGGAATCTGAATGAATCATAATGTGTACAATCCATGTAGCTTATGGAAGCTTTAAAGTTTCATATATTTTATTTTAAATTAGTGATTTTTACTATATATCTAGAAAGTGTGCCAGATATGCAGATTGATTGCATATTTCATTGTGGATACTTCCTTTGGTTTTCATCCTCATCAGCAAGTGTATTTGGTTACAACTGATTTTTTTAAAGCTTATTTCCAGAAGCTGTGTCTCTAAGATGGACAGTTGTTCCAGGTTTTAGACGTCTGTCAGTGATGTTAATTGAGGACTCTGACAAAGGTTTCTATCACAGTGTTCAAGTTAACAGCTTCAATAGAATGGCTGTTTCAGGAACAAAAGCAAAGCAATTGCTCTGGCAATACTGTAATCTCCTGGTAGGTGTTTGATAGCAGTGAAGATACCTGATGTTCTCCAGAAAGGTGTTATAAAACCTGAGTCATTACAGTTATAGAAAGGAAGAGACGTGATGGAAGATAGATTCTCTTTCGCCCTTAAACAAATTCCAACTTTATTTTATATAACAAGTGTTCCCCCCATACATTTCAAATGCAAAATGGATTGTTTGCATGTAGTAAAAAAGCTCTGTGTCATAAAGAGCACCAGGAGCTCCACTCATGAGGTTGCCTTCAGGAGAACACTGCCTGCAGGTCAGGGAGGGGATCCTGCTCCTCAGCCCTGTGAGGATCACGTGTCCAGCTCTGGGCTCCTCGGGACAGGACAGACACGGAGCTCCTGGAGCTGATCCAGGGGAGGGTGACAAAGGTGATGGAGGGACTGGAGCATCTCACTGAGCACAGGCTGAGGGAGCTGGGCCTGTCCAGCCTCGAGAAGAGAGGGGCCCCCATCCCTGTGTGTCAGTGCCTGCAGGGAGGGGCAGGGATGGACCCGGCTCTGCTCCGTGGTGCCCAGCAGTGGGACAGGAGAAACAGAGAGAAACTGTTGCACAGAAAATCTATCTGAACATTAGAATAATTTCTTTCCTGTTTAATGACCAAACACTAGACCAGATTGTCCAGAGAGGGTGTGGAGTCTCTCTCAGTGGAGATATCCAAGAACTGTCTGGACACAATCCTGTGCCATGGGCTCTGGGATGACCCCACTTGAGCAGGGAGGCTGGACCTGATGACCCAATGGGATCCCTTCCAACCTGACCCATTCTGTGATTCTGTGAACTGCTCTATAAGTTATATATTACTTTATCTTACCTGTGATTTGCTTGGCAGATTTTGGTGATGGAGGTTTTGTATAGAAATAGAACACTCAGCCAACCAACACATAGTATAGTGGTCCTGAAGATTAAAGGCAATTACATAAGAAAAACATGTATTACAGGTGTTATTTAATGCCTGAATAACTCAAAATTTTTAGATTAATAATGAAACAATGAAATATTAAAACATGGTTTAAAATTTTTGAACAGGATATGAAGTGCCATCCTATAGATCCTCCCTGGAAAAAAAAATGATCAGCCCTTTGGAATTTTCTTAGTAATCAATTAACAGCACAATCCATAGAGAAGCAGTTCTGTTATTTTAATAGAGATGGGGTTTTTTTCTCCTTGCCTGTATAGATACTTGATGTCTTCTTTTCTTATGCTGGACAGTAGCTCATGGCACTGCTGCCTGGGAATAACTGTGGGGGAAACAGGTGTATTTCTGAGTAACTTGCTAGGGAGGGACTCTGCAGATGTGTCTTTTCCCCCTGCTACTACCAGGGGAGAGGGGTTGCACAGCATCGCTGAGAACACCTGTGCATTTTTTGAGCTAACAGGATGAATAATGATGCAATGAATAGTATATGAGAACCACAGGCCCTAAAAAAGGCTCAGAATCTTATTAAGAACAGATTAGGATTCTTGCATATATATACACACACCACCTTGAATGAGGATCTTCAGTGCTCCACAATAAATCTATGAGATCAATGGATTTAGCTTTCTTTTTCTTTGCAGCTAGTGCAGCTCAAATGTGGCCTTCCTCCTTAAATTCCATATTCCCCTCACCCCCACCCCCCTACCAAAATCCTCAGTGTGTACAGGATATCTCAGAATGAATTAATGATTTTGGAAGGATGATCAGTTAAAAATGGGAGGTCATTCCTGTACTCTTCAGAATGATCTGTAATAATGAAAGCTCCAGCAGTTAATGAAAATATGTAGTGCACCCTTTCAAACATTTAAAGTTCACACAATGAGAAATAGCCCAATATCTGCTCCAGAAAATAATGAAAGATACTGAGAATGCAGCTAAAGTTTTATTGCATGAAAAAAACAAATGTATTTTTTTAAAACTATATGCACCTCTGTCAGTGGGAATAGCGTAGACCAATATTTTACTTTCAGCTTTAAAAATTCCAAAGGAACATGTTGTTGAAGGGTTTTTTGTATTGGCATTAAGCTTGATTAGAGTCAAATCAGCAGATTTCACTTCCTAAATAAGAAAAATCTACCACATTTTAACATTCATGGATGACCTTTTTCGGGCTTTATCATAAATGCAGGAGTAATTCAACACCAGCTGAAATCATTGGCAGCATTTCCACTGGAGTAATTTGTTTTAGTATAAACCTCTAATGTTTGAGATAATATTAGTGCTTGTTTTAATACCAAATGCATTATTGAATGCCAATGGCTTACAGAATGACAGCAGTTTTAACCAAAAAGGATAGAATATTATCCTTGGAAATAAAACTTAGAAATTTACTTGATATCTGTCTTAAATTATTGGTCTATTTTTTTTATGTTGAAATCTGTAGCTGAAACATAAAATAGAAACTCCCAAAGTGATACTTTGCTCAAGAAAACTAGCCATTTCTATATTTGGCATACTGAAGATAACTTAATGTATTTTTCATCAATTAATTTTGGGATCAGGACATTTGCATTAATACAGAAGTGGGTTTTGGAGCTTATTTACTGCTCTATCTTCCTGTACATTTATTTTGATGGTTGGATTTATTTCTTCACATTAAAATACTGATGCCACCTACAGCAGAATGTTCCCTTATGTTTTCCATGGCAAATACTTCAGTAGCCAACATGAGATGTGTGGGATGGATGGATGGATGGATGGATAGATAGATAGATAGATAGATAGATAGATAGATAGATAGATAGATAGATAGATATTGGTGAAAACTATATTCACTTGGAAATCTTTGGTAAACTACACCACATTTGAAGGTTTAGTCAAGCTGGGGGATAATTCTCTCCTATTTGTTCTGTCTGCTTTTTTTTCGTGCACAGTTTCCTTTCACCAATTTAGTTCTGTCTTCCCACATACCTGTTAGTGAGTGTTACAATCATGTATGGCTTCCCATATACAGTAGAATTTTTTCCATCTTTCCATCCTGCTCTGTCACTCCAATCCTGTGTTTATCACAAGCAGCATATTTGTTACAAGGCAACTTCTTGGATAAACTCAAACTGCTCCTCCAAAAAACGTGGCACTTGTCACAGCCTCAAAAAAAAGCAAACAGCCTCATGTTGATGTGATCTTCACAGAGGGGCATCTGCAAAATCCAAGGCTCCATCTGACTATGGAAACAGAGCTAGAATAAAAAGGAAAAAAAAGCCCCAAACTGGTGGGCTGGGGAGATGAGAAAAAAGATTAAATTAGGCTTTAAAATGGCTGCACATGCAGGTTTAGTTTTCTTAACCTACTTTTCATTGGAGATTTTCCTTATTTCTTGTATGCATATTTCCTACTGCATAGAATAAATGTCCAATTAAAAACATTCCTTGGTCACACAAAATTAATTTTAATTCTGAGGAATTAGGGGACAACCCATTTTGTTTCTGTATCCTCCATTATTTTGAAGGGAAAACAACGACAAAAAATGTCTACAATTACAGTTTTAAGAACCATTTCTATTTTACTCTAATTACTGCTGTATTTCATTAAAAATACCACAAGCCAGGATTAAGTATGCTGCAAGAAAATGCATTTTGTAAGTTCTCAGTTCATGCATCCTCTCCTTCACTCTCTCACACATTGCTGTGTATGTTACAGGCCTGGATTCCTCTGCCAATGTCTTTGTCAGCGGTTCTGCAAAATTCTACCACCAATCTAAAGATGTAATTAGAATACTTCCTCTTAGTACTTCCCACACAGTGGCAGCTGAAAAGCACAAATGTTGACTGGGCTCCATTTTTTGGAGCCTGAATGGAGACTAGTGGAAAATATTGATAATATAAACATGCAGCAGACCTTTCACAAAGTTATGATAATCCTTCCTACCAATACAATCCTTGACATGGCACATGTTTTTAGCCAGGACCTGTATGCAGTCATCAGTCAATCTGCAAACAGCACCCCTGGGCTCTACAGGGGTGAGACAGAAATCAGCTTGTGAAGATAGAACCTCTAACTCCTGCTCTGGTTTTACAGCATGTACAAACAAAAAAAATGGAATCTTAGTGTTGGTAAAGCATTCCATGACAGGTATTTGTCGTGCAGTGTTTGCATAACATATTTTTTTAAAGTCCTTTAATTCTAAAGCAGCCTTTCCAAAGAAGTGATAGAGGTGGAGTTTTAAAGCTTTTCTGATGTTCAGAGTTCAGGATTTGGAGTGGTCCATTAAACCAGAGTTGATTTGGGTATGAAACATAACCAATTTTTATAAATAATAATGAGTTACTAATTTATTTGTCTATTGTAATGTTTTTTGTTGATAAGAAATTATCTAAATAATACCAAGTATCACTAATAATTCTATAGAATTTGACAAATGCATACAGTTAATATGTTTTAAGAACTTGACTGTGTAATAGCTGAAATTTCTTGTGTCATCCAACAGATGTTAACTACAATTTAAAAGAAATAAGTTTAGTTATGATTAACTTATCATAACTACTTGAACTGTTGTAACATTTTCATATCCCTTATTTCTCGAAGCAGTTATCTAGTTTACAGATTAAGATGTTTTATTACTATTCTTTTATTAGCAAAAAATACACAAGCATTTGACCAAAAGGACTACGTGCATTTTTATGCATGGCTTTTCAAAATGCTGAGTTTTGTAAAGGAATACATTTCTACAGGAACAATTTACTGCTTCAGTAGTTTTTGGAAGAGAAACATTAAACCTATTTTGAGCCATTATTCAATAAAATGTAATAAATATTTTCAGTTTTGATGACTATTTTATAAGATTTGGATCTCCACAGGAATATGAATTTTAAGTTCTTTTTTAGTTGAACATGTAAGCTGCTATTATTTTTAAGTTTAATAATTTGAAAATTGTGTAGCTTCAGAACACTGATAAGCATAGACTTCTATATAAGGATGTAATTATAAAAATGTCCATGTAAGACCAGCTCAATTTCCTCCTTTCCAGGTTCTCATTATTTGATTGTACAATTATTTTTTAAATTCAAGTTAGTGTTTACTCTTGTTCATTATTTGAGTAAGGACAGATTTTGTGTTGTCTGATGGCAGTATCAAACCATTATGAGAGGAGTTAAGGAAAGACAGATGGGAAAACACATTTACATTCTTTGGTTTATAAGGATTCTGCCCTTACATTTTCTAATTCATTTGTGCTTGGTTTATATGTGTTTTCAAAATTCTACACATCATTAAGCTTTATAAAGTATGTTCATATCTGCCACCCTTCTTGAAAAAGTGCAGACTTCCTCACAACCGACCTTCATGGCTGAGAAATGACAAGCCAAACATTGACTCCAGAGCTCTTTCACTTGAAGGAGGAATTAAATTTTAATAATTTTAGAAAACATAATTATTAATTTTTAATTATACACTAAATATACAGACACAGAAAATTATAATGTCTGAAATTCAGGCGCTATTCTTGGAATTTCTTCTCCAGATTTCTCTTTATTATAAAAGATGAGAAGTAAAAGCAATTTACTTGTGCTTGTGAGGTACCCAGCATGCCAGTTTGTCTCCCTAATGTGAACAGCAGTGAAAGCACTGCTTGTTTTGTCTCAAGGGGCATCTTTAGATTTATTTTTAAAACAATGCAAGATTTATCAGTGAAAGGTTTCTGTTTCTGATTATGTGTAATTTTTTAATTGGTGTTTTTTGTACCATCTTCGTCACAATCCCTGCTGGCCTATCATATTATAGCTATTAATTTAATTTGTCAGGATTTCTATTTTCCTTACTTGGCCATAGTTTCTACTCTGAGAAACATTTTGCATCCAGTAAACACCCTGACTCTTCTGTTTAAAACTGACAGGCTTTGGGAACAGGGATCTTTTTGCTTTGATTTTATGTGTTCATGCAAGTTCATATGCCTTTATGTATTTTACTCAGAAATTATAGCTGCCTCTAGTACCTTGTGATAATGCTGTCAAGAAACGTACAGATTTTATTTAAAGTTTTTTTTTTTTTCTTTCCATTTTTAAAATCTGACAGGGTGATGTAATAACATTATTTTTCTCTGACTTGGTAAATATCTTGTGCATAATTATAGGTGAGTTTTCTGACAGTTTCACTTTAAACTGTCTGATCCCCTTGTCTGGACAAAACTGTGGCTTTTTAATCTGTTTTCTGACTGTTTTGATGTCTCTGAAAAATTCCAAAGCATAACTGTTGCATAACTCCCTGCTAGGAGGCAACTTCTGCAGGAATGAAATTTGTATTTTCCTGTGTCTGCTGTGTTAGCAGCCTGTCCCCTGCCTCATCTCCCCTAGCATTTCATCATCACATCTGTGGTGCAAGTCATGCTCTTGGATGTCTTACAAAGACACCAAGCCCTTACTGGGAGTTCTCATCCCTAAGTATTCACTGGAGAACAGACTGAGCACGGGACACAGAAAGTGCTGCCTTGAAATGTTCCTGAAGCTAATCAATAGAGCAGTGATGCTGGAAATGAAGACCTGTGTCCTGGTCTGTTTTCAGCATGAGGGTTTGAATATTTATCTCAGGCATTTTTGGTGAGTGCTCTGCTCTGCTGCTCAATCTAGATCCATCACTTCTTTTTGATCCCATTCCTGCTGTCTGTGTGTAGTAGGTGTGCTCTAGGCATTCACAGCTGAGCACTTCTTTTGGAAAACAAAGATGTGAAAATTCAAGGCTTATCTGGCGCTTGGATGGGAGCTCAGGCCCAGCAGGATTAGTGCTGATGGCCCAGGGCTATAAACTCAGCAGTACAGATTTAGGCACCACAAAAAGAGATTGTTAGCATAAGCTTGATGTCAAGATTGGAAGACTGGAAATGTAGTTTCAGACATTCAGTACTTTTGCCCACCGTGCTGTCACCTAAAGGAAAAGCCAGGCTAAATTTGCTGATGCACCCAAGTCCAACAGCACTGCTAAGTATCAGTTCATTTTTTGGAGGCAACAGAAGCCTTTTGGTTTCTGTTTTCTGCATTTTCACTGTTTGTTTCTATAAACGGGCGGTGTGACCTTTTTTTCACAAGAGCATTTTGAATACAGTACAATCTTTCATGAGAACATATTCCAAGGGAGGCTATTTTTAAACAAAATGACATAGGCCCAGCGTGCCACCCACAGGACAGTGCTTGCCCAGGAAATGTGGAACATTTCCGCAGAGATATGACTTGCCATAAAATATTAAATTTCATTTCTTTGTGGGTATTTTCTTTGAAAAGTGTTATTTCTGGTGTGACAGTCCATGAATAAACAGATTTGAACAGCTTTTCTTGGAGATGCTGTTAGCTTTTCATTCTTCTAGTTTTATCAATACAGGAAAATGAATTCCCTCTAAGTGTGCACGATACTTGCCCTGCTGTACAGTGCCAGGGTGTTGTGGATTAATTTTTGACCATCCCATTGTATTTCTGCTTTCAATTTCCTGTGTTCTCCTTCTGTTCAGAGAGTGATAGAGTTGTCCTCAGCAACACATATAAAGACTAAAAGGAGAATAATGCCTCACCAGAAAATACAAAAATGTGCATTCTTTTCATGCTGAGAATGTTTATGGCAAGGGGTCCCTGAGGAATTGCGATGGACAGGCTTTACTTTGGGATTGGCCTAGGATTGTTTTATAGTGCTCAGCCAGTCTTCACCAGGACTAAGGGTTTTCTTTGGGTCCAAAATCGCTGCTGTGAATCAAGGCATTAGACAAAATCTGCAGTACCTGTATCAGAAATTCTTTGAGATAAGAGATACACAATATTATCAATAGAGGAACCTAATTATGTTACTGCAAAATCTTAAAATGTTCAGGCTGTGGGATATGAAAAATGTGAAAACAGTGATAAAAAAATATTATTTTTCATATCTTCATTTCAAGACTTTCAGAACTCTCTCCTCGTCTAGTAACACTCTGCCAGAATGCAAATTAAGTTCTAGTCATAAATCTTAATGAAATGGGTAGCTTGTCAGTTTTATTTGATTAGGAATTGGAAAAAGGGAGTACTATTAATAGGAAAAATGGATTTTTACTCTGATATGGAATTTACTTCTATCACTATTATGATATCTTTACAAGTCAAATGATTCTTTTTTTCCTAGTGGCAAATGCTATCATTATTCCATAGTTAATATAATATTTATAATAGCATGCAAATATGTTTGAAGTTGAATACCAGTATACAGGTCCCTGTGTATAAATAAGGAATTACTACACAATAATTATTCTGTAAGTAAGAATGCTGTTAATATTCCATATTCATTCCATGCCATGTTTCCTGAGTCGTGCCACATGGTGGCCTAAGTGTTAGATTGCAGATAAATTCTGTGAAGATGCTGTAAAAGGCACAACAGTCTCCTGTGTTTTTTCGGCAGGTACCCAGAGCCATTCACTGCACACTTCCTGCCAGGCAGTGATCCCGATTTCCTTGTGATGCCACAAGCTGGAGAACTTCTCCCAGAAGGCACTGTGGGAACCCATATAACAGTGGGATACAAGCCAAGGATGTATGGCAAGAAGCACACAGCCACACTGGTCATCGAGGTAAGCCTTCCCCAGGGCAGTGCACTAATACTCCTTCAGGAGTGCCATCAGGGAGAGAAATCCTGCACCAAAGAGCAGCACTGGAACACACCCAGTGCATGTGCTGGGATGGTTTTGCTACTTCTCACAATGGACAAGAATAAAACTAAATTTGGAGAATTGACTGATGACAAGCTGGAAAAAACATACCGTATTTTACACCGTGTTATAATTTCCACATTTTCCTTTGCCATCAGCACCAGAGGGAGATACTTAATCTTGATATGTTTGCCCCAACTCCACAGACAACATGACTTTCACGGAGAATCAATATAATCCTGTTAAGAATTGGTGGAGAATATAAAAGTAATTGAATATGTGAAGCCTAGGTTATTGATTTTAATTGTATCATACATCTTATATGATCAAAGGCTCCAAGAAGGCAGGTGCCAAACTGTGGAGGCGAGAATTTCAGAGCACAAAGCCAGGAATAGCTCTTTTGAAGCAAGATGCAAAATAAATGAAAATTATTTGCAACCAAGTAGCCTGTGTAATGTGAAGGTCAGGAAACATTTGAAGACATGTATTCCTTCAGCAGTAAAAATGCTCTCAGAAACCAATTTTCAAGTTTTAAGCTATCCTTTAGAAGGAATCTGTTGTAAACACACAGCAGGGGCAAAACCCCACATTCTCTATAAATCATGGTTTTTCATTTCAGTCTATTCACTGCGTGCTGGTAGTGTTTTCAGACTACTATATTAGAAGTGAAACAGCAATATTGATTTAAGAAATAAAATGGTCAAGACAAAGTTGATAAAAAGATGCATGGCAAATCATTGTAGTGTTTTATCTCTATAAGTGACAACTTGTATAACAGTGAATAAGAAATTCCTAGCCTGGAAAAACTAAGTCCTTCAATCCCTCCTACTTGTTTTCTTTTACTGCATTAGATGTCTGATTAATATAATCTCTTTACATAAACAGCAATGATGCTTATCACTCTTCCTTTTGAAAAATAAGATAGCTTACTGAATATATTCTGTGCTATTTTGTGTTTACAAAGTACTGTATGACACAGCTACAGAGCTCAGAAACTTGAAGTTTTGGAGCTGAACTGCTGTTGTGAGGCATGGCACATACAAATGCAGTAGCTATGCTTGTCCTTGGCTTAGCTTTCATCACTAACAAGATTTTACCATAAATCTGTCTGGAATGGGACAAACACAATGATCAAAGGCTATTATTAGCTCTTTAAGAACTCAGGCAGTAATTCAGAATTTCCTTTTAGGAATTTATCAGTATAGATGGCCTGTGTCTAATTGGATTTTTAAGCTACATGCACTCACACCTCAGTCTCTGCTGATGATCTAGGCAGACAGCTCTTCACATCTCCACCTTTGGTACTGTGTTGGCTGCAGTAAGTCAGTCATTCATACATATTACATATATACAGATATCAGATCACATCTTGTTGTATCTGTTCCTGAACATTTAAAAATGCATCAAGGATTCTTATAAGCACATTCTGGATCAGTATAAGTCCATCATAGTCTGTTAGAGATGCTTTTAACATTCTCACTCAAATTGCAGAATTAAGTGGTTTCAGTAATGTTTTGATGCACCTTGTGTTCTCTTTGCTCTTTTTGGTAGCTCTTTCTTGTACTCCAGACTTCGCCCTTTCTGCTCCACACAAGCTTTAATTCCTGCAGTTCTGATGGAAGGGAGAGCATCTGTGGCTGTGTGTGATTCAGCTGCTGTGCTCTCAGCACTGACCTGATGTAAGATTTGATGAGATGTTGAGAATACGATATTAATTTCTGCCTTTTGTGTTTGTTGGAATAATTTCCATTAGTAAACTGAGGGAGATGGACTTAGAAAGATATATTAAATAAAAGCTGTATTAAATCATTCTTATTTAACAGTGGAGGTGGTGAAATGCAATTAGTGTTTGACCTAACTCTGAAGAACCTTTCTTGCATGTATCCTCTCTAGCCAATATATTGGCTGAGGCTTTGGGCTATTTTTAGAAATGTTGAAGAAGATTTTCTTTTGCAGTGCCTCTTTTCTGCTGCTGCTGTAATAAAGGCTTACAGTGCTCTTGCTTTAAAATGTCTTTTGCATTTCCAAGGGTAAACTCATACTCCTAACACTAACATATTTTTATTATTAAATTATTTCAACAATGAGTATCAGATTTCTAATTTTTGTGTGTTTCAATGAACAGTGATAATTAAGCTGTAAAGTAGCAGAGATATCAGTGCAAGTTCTTTGGTTTATGTTCATCATTACAATTGTGTTGTAAAGGAAAATGGGAGGTTAGGATTATGGAGGAAGATCCTACAGTCATCTTTTTATCTTTTTTTTTTTTTTTTTAATTTTAAACCAAAATATTGTATGTACATTTTTTTTGTTTGTTTTATTATCCTGCTGAGAAACTAACTAGCATTAACATATATGTAAGTCTGTCTCTACCAGAACTTAGTGTGTACATTTTACTAACTGAATGTATATATGTATAATTGAATCATCTTGACTAGTTTATATTTCAGCACACAAATCAAGTACTTCATGGGATATGGTACGGATTCTTTCAGACTTAATATTCATGAATACTTACAGTAGATTTGATTAATGGCAGGAAACCTTAATTACTTTGCTGAAGCAGTTAAAGCTCTTTAACCATCATTAAAACTTCTGTTCTCAGTCAACTACATCTCAAAACAATGGAAGTTAGATAATTATTTAAATGGCTGCTAGGAATCTTATTTTTGCAGAAGTGACACTTTAAATTTTTATGTAGATCAGAGAATGAACTATTACAAAAAGGCAGTAAGGAAAATAATCATGCTTGTTTCTTTGAAAAAGCTTGTAGCTTTGAATGAGGACATCACAACTTAATTAAGCTACAGGTAAGAAACAGTGAAACTGTGCCTGAACAGCATTTTTAAATAGCTATTTTTCAATAATCAAACTTCTAAATTTAGAATTGCCTTCATAAATAGTGCAGTTCTGAATTTAAAAAAAATATATTATCCCTAATGATAAATAAGTGAAGAGAGCACTCTACTTAGATGAGCTGTAAAGTGCTGTGAGGACAGAAGGGACTTCCTGAGCCACAGTGACATCCCAGAGCTGTGGTGTGCCAGTCAGGCTGAACAGAAAACCGACAGAGCTGAGGGATGTCAAGGTGCAGCTGGGGCTGGAACCACAGCCAGGCACAAGGTGGAGCAGCCAGCAGGCTGGGAATCCTTGGCAAGGAGCCTATTCCTGTTGGCTTGCAGTTAATTTCCTTTCACTGTGCTGAATTCAGCTGGAGACCAGAGCAATTGCTTTGTAATTCATGTGTGAGACTTCTGAGATATTCTAAAGCAGAAGGCACACACAATAAGTCTTAAATGATAAAATAGGTGTCAGAGTGAACCAGATTGCAGGTAACATTATCAAGCCCTCCAGAAGTCAGGCTTGTGCACCTTTATTACTGAATAATCACTAACTTAGCCTATGGAAGATAGCATATCAAAAGCATTTGTCATGCTGTTCTGCAAATAAATGATGCAGTGTTCCAGCCACAGTACCCAGGTGTGGCTTCTCTAAACTTGTCTATGCAAACTTGCATATCTTAACAGCAAACAGTACTCTTACATATTCAGCAGCTTGCTGAAACTGCCTTGTTCCTAGTGGATTTCTTAATTACCATAGTTCAATGTTACTTTAAATATTATCTCTTGAAAAGAATGAGCAAGGAAAAATGTAATTAACTTACTAGAATAATTGAAATAATTTCCTATTAAACAAGATACATGTTGGTGCTGGCTTGAGCTGTAGGGTTAGAAACAGAGTGCAGAATCAGTACTCAATATTTTTGATTCACAAGCATGAAGAAAGGTTACTTTGCTTATTGAGACTTATAGTTCTGATAATGGCAAAAGGTGCTAATAATGAGGGAACCATTGCTGTAAAAGAGTGTTGAGAACACTGCCAGTCCTGGAGGATTTTGATTATATAATGTCTAGGCAATGTTGTGAAACACCTAATATTTGAAGTGCAGAAACCAATTAAGTAAAATTTAATTATATCTGGAAGTATTCTTTAAGCTAAGAAAATTTTTCTTATCCATCTTCTTCATTAAAAATTGGTCAGAGCCTGGATGGGCATTTGTCTGCTTGTGGGAGGTGGTTCTTATTGCTTTGGGTTTTCCCCCCTTTCTTCCTTCACTTACCAAGCTATCATTGTCTTGATCCAGGAATTTCCTTGCCTTTGTTCTTCCCTTACAAAGTTCACATAAAGGTTTGCTTTAATTTCACTCTGGATACACTGATGGTAATTGGTCTTTTTTTTTTGTTTGTTTGTATAACAAAACCTTGCAGTATAAATTAACGGCCAGGAAATATTTGATGCAATACCTGTAATTTTCTGTGGTTTTAATTTTTTAGGAAGTCTTGTGAATTGTATTTTGATTTTTCTGAGTTAACAGTATTTGTAAGCTAACTGGAATACAATATTACTTGAAATTCCTGATCCTTCCTCCCAATCCACTTTCCTAACAGATTGCTTTGGCAATTATTTACCATGTACTTCAGTAGCGCTTCCAGCCTACAGTGAACACCCATGCATAATCTGTGTTTTGAAAATTAATCCTATGAATCACGAGGCATCAGTAAAATTGGGTTGGATACCAAACAAATAGACTTTCATATAAATTATTTGGTGACTGTTACCAGTAGTGGCTGAATAATTTGCTTTATGAACATTACTCAGTCACCCATCAAGATGATTTAATGACTTACTTGAATAGCTTAGGTTATGTAATAAGAAGTGGCAGTTTGTGTCTCATTTTTAATTGTTAAAAACACTTTTCAGAGAGATTTAGCTCAGTACATGGCCATTACTGTAGTCAGGTGAGCCAAATTGTTATTCTCTTCACATTTTTATTCAGGAATACCGAGGTTTTGTAAAAAGAAAGTCATTCATTTCAACAAGAAATCCTCCCTTGTATTGTCAAGGACATTCAGAATATGATCTGGTCTTTCTTCTTAAATTGTGTGTGAAATAGGCCTAGATATGCATCACAGGGAGCCTGGGTTCTTAACTACCTATGTTTATATCAGATATATCTTCTTAACAGAGATTCTCTTTGGGAATTCTGTCCTAGTCATAGTACAGATTGCAGCAGATTTGATCCTTTCATCTTTAGACTTTGTTACTGCCAGAGCTAGTATTGGAATTATTCCAAATTTGATACAGTAAACTGCATTGCCTCAGAAATAGGAAGAAGTGTTCCTCTGATTTGAGAAATTTTGGCCTGCTTTTGAGGCAAGTAAATACTGCTTGTAAATCAAATATTCTATCATAATTCTATGGTCATATGTGGATGGCCTTTGAAAGTCTCTCTTCTTCCTCTCCACCATTCCAGGAAAGGCTGAAACTGTGATGATCTGTATTTTTCTTTGCTGTGACCTTGAAATAATCCATAAGACTTTCACACAGTGTGTATGACACTGAGGTTAAATTACCTTTTAACTAAATTGTTCATATGCTTTATTAAAGAAAGATAAACTATTTAATTTGTACTGAAGTTAATGAAATAATGAGCTAATTTTGGAGAGCCACTTGCTTCTCTTAAATGACTACTTTATCTTTGGAAACAAGATGCTGATGCTGGTTCATGTCACACCTGCTTTTGCTGGCTGTTACCTTTACAAACAGTAGAGTTACTAGTTCATTTCACAGTATTAAATAAGGTTGAGAATAAAGATGAGTTAATCTGCCTGTTTTACACAGAATAATATTCAATTTAAATTTAAATTTTGCTTTTAGTAGGATAGTAATAAAAATTTTGAAAAACTAAGCATGCATGCTGAAATATCTACTGAGTTCTCATTTACTAATCTTACTGGAATAGAATAAGTCATTCAGCAGACACCATGTAAAATCAATACTGCCCATTTTCAAGCAGAGGTATCTTTAAAAATACACAGAAAAAAACCCTCAGCTATTCTTTCAACATTGGTGCAGAAAAGTATCATTCAATAGCCAAAATGCTGGTTAAAACAATTGGAGATTCATATGATGATGACATATAGGAGCTGTAAGTGTATGCAGTATATCTGTGAAATAATGTAAATGCTCTATAAATGCACAGAAGAGAACAAAGCCTGAGCCAAAGAGTTTATGGTTTAATGTTCTGAAACTTCTTTTTGTTGAATATCTGTATTATAAATTCAAAACTACTTGCAATGATACTCTTTAAATATAAATTATCACTGAACAGGGCAGCAATTAGAATGGTAGGAAGAAGCATATGAAAGAAAACCAAGATAAGCATAATAGATTCAAACTTTTCAGTGGCAAGTATAAAACTGATGTAACAAAACTTAGTAAAGTCAAGAAACATTTTTTTCCATGCTTTTTTCCTTCTTCTGTATGTTGATGTAAATATGGGATGACTCCACAGAAGGTTGGATGTGGAGAAGGTTCACTGCTCATCTCTGTGGCTTTTGCAGTGCTTTACCTAAACCATAATTAAAGGATAAAATGCAATGAATAACAAGGCAAATATACGCACTCTGCTTTGGAGATGGTTGATAGCATTTATGGAGTGTGAAAATCTGCCACAAATTGAGTGGGTATTGTGGCACCACTCTATAGGTCAAATCTGGCAGGTTTTTTTTTTTTTTTTTTTATTTACATGCCCAGCAGCAGAACAGGAGCAGAGAGCTCACACTGGAATGAAAAAAATTGGCCACAAATCCAGCCATGTGGGAAGCTGGACTGCCAGCTGAGGGAAAGACCCATGAGCTTTGAGGCTTGACTGTAGCTCTGTTTTCCAGAGCAATTTCAAAGCATATCAGCCTTTCTGACCTTTTGTTTCCTCAGATGAAGAATGACACTGTTGTTAGGTGTAATGTTTCTATCTACAATTGATTGTTCTAATGATTAAATTAGTTTTAAATGGGTGATGAATTCCATGAAGTACAACTCCTCCCTGTAATGATAAAATTGGAAGAAGGAGCAGAGAAAGGTGACCCTATGAGCTGTGCCCCTGTAGTTCCACACAGCAGGAGAGCAACAAAAACCTGCTCTGGAACCACAGCCAGCACAGCTCTGTGCCTGCACTGCTGTGTCCTGGGGAAAGGCAGAGCTTGGGAATTTGGAAATACCACTCCTTTCATGTGACTTCCCTGCTCTGAGACTGCAAAGTCAGACAGTCTGCTATGTTCTGTGTACTCTGTTCATGCTCTGTGTTCTGTATAAAAGCCAAATTTCATTTGTATGAATATATTTTAATAGACTTATACATACCATATTTTTATTTAGTCTTACTCTATTAGTTTCATCTCAGAAAGAGAAAGAAAAGCCCCAAATATAAAACATAGGATTTTCAGTCACTAGGTGTGAGGGAATTTATGACAGTCTATGCTTAAAGTGGCCATGCAATGCTTTGTTCTTTTGCACAGTACAAAACTGGGCATAATGACACAGCACTTGAGATTTTGTAATATCTTTTGGGTTTGTAATATTTCTGTTGTTAGTTTGTAGTTTTGGGTTTTTTTACAAGAAAAGTAGAACAGAAAACTAAAACCCAGGAATATTCCTTTTTCCAGATGTAATGACAGGAAAGTGCTAGAGACTTAGAATGAAGACCTGCTTTCAAAAATTAAGTGATACTTATGAAAGGAAAAGTTTTGGAAGTTCTGCAAAAATTACACATGAGTTTTTAACAACCAAAATTCTGTTTCAGGACACATGAAGCATAAGAAGTAGACCACAATATACCCTAATATTCATAGAAATAAAAGTCCTTAAGCATGGATAGATGGGATGTGTAGTAAGAATAAGGTCCATGTACTAAGGAAGAATCAGGCAGGGTTCAAGCATTACAAGACATGACATGGAAACATATGTTCCATTCCTAGAGACCAGTTATAAACAGAGAGCAAATGAAGAGTGTCATTTTCAATCCATATAAATGTGCCTCAAACCAGAGATTACAACATGAAGCTTCAATTCTCTTGTGCACAGAGTCCTTTTGTCTTAGTTTTGTTCATTCTTTTAACGCGAAAGTCCCACCATTTGATATTACCATTGTTACAGACAGCAGAGCTGTAAGTGAATCCTACGGTACAAACTTGAGGCATTTATGTTGTAGTAAGGAATAGTCACCTTTGAAAAACATACAGAGCTCTTTGAAAAACACACAGACTTCTGGGATTTTTAAATAAAAAAGGAATTTTAGATCAGCCAGGGAAGGTAAATGTCTCGTCTTTTTTATGCCTGATCCTGAATAAAGCTGAATGTGATTTCAGTTCTCTGTTCCAGGATTGCAGTTCTCATTCTGTGTTATTCCAGTGCATTACATTTCAAATATCTTTTGAAATCAATGTTGCATCTTAAATCACTGATGAATCTTCAAGGTATTTGGTCATTGATTTTTTTTTTTCCCTGTTCATTATTTTCAGACACAGTCAATGCAGTGGACATATATAATCAATGGACTTCCTCCACAGACTGCACCACCTACAGTGGCAGCAAAAGTAGTTTGCACCAGCAGCTACACAGGATCGTTCACAGTCCGACAGCGCAATTTTGTACGTGAAAATCTGAAACTTATAACCACTGGGGCATCCTCACCAATCAAAGGAGCACCTTTGGTCCTTAGGAATAAACAGAGAAAATTATAATCTGTTAATTTTTGGAGAGAGAACAAATAAATTCTGCAGATTAAAAAAACATTGTTTGTTAATTTATTTTTTTTTAACAGATATGGTGTGCATGGATTGTATATTCTGTATGGAAGATTCAGAGCACTGGAACTCTAGTAATATTCCTGCTTTTCTATAAGGGATTTTGAATGCCTAACAATTAGTTTATGTCATGCATATGTCAGAAACTTCAGAGAAAAAGCTTTAGGTTTAAAACAATTATATCTGAGGATTGGGTAATTCAAACTAATGTGTTGCTTTCTAAAGGATGTTGGTTTATAAGACTGTAATAGGAAATTTCACTGAACATTCTGTGTAATGTTCAGCACATCACACCCATGCAAAACAAGCAAGAAAAAACAATCTGTGTTCTCTTCCACAAGAAAATCCTTACCTTTACTTGCTTTGAAAAATTTCATTAATTAGAACATCTTTGCTGTGTATAAAATAACAGTCATATTTTATTAATTCCATAACATTTCAAATCTTTGATAATTATACATAGCACAGAAGTGAAATAAAATGTCCTGCTGCAATAATTTTATGTCAGGTATATTTTATAGAGTGCTTTAGAATATTAACATATCGAAGGCTATGAGGAATTAAGACAGATTTTCCTTTTTTTTTCCTAGAATAAACAAATCAGAGGTGATATTCCTGGTGTGTTTCTATTTCCATTCTTTTGATGGGAATTCAGGCTTTCTCTGCTCCTGATATAACGTGGAAAATTAGATCTATGCAGACATGCTTTGTAAGATCATTGGATGGGTAACTCCTGACTCCTTTCTTCATCGAGATCATTTTTCCTGATTTTACGAACAGAACATAAATTGTATTTGTGCCTTTATTTTGATGGCAAAATGTACGTTGACAAAAAGATGGCTTGGCACAGACTAAGTGCCTTCTTGGCTCCAATACAGAATGAGCATCACTGCTCAGGAATGGGGAGCCTGAGAACAACTTATGTAGGTCAGTGCAAATGAGCACCAATAAAACCCTTTTACCACGATGCGCTTGAGGATTTTGTTTATGCCACACATTTTTAGAGAAGCTATTACAGAAAATGTTGGGAGCACATAAAACAGCCAATGGTGCTGTTTAATACCTTTTTCTAAATGCACGGTGCCCCGTTTTGGTCAGAAACCAGGTAATCTGCAGTGAGAATAAAATCAGCTTTATAAATTCAGTGTACAACACTGGAAAGATACTGTCCATACTGATATCTCTAGAAGACATTGAGAAAGAAGCTGTAGTAATATTTATCTTAAATGCTGCTGGGACCACAAATGCAGCTGGATTTCATAGGAAGGCTCTAGCTGCATATATAAATGAAGTAAGTGTTTATCTGACCATAAGAAATCAGAATTTACAAACCAGCAATAGTTTCACAACTAATAATTGGTGTTCAGGAAATATTTAATTGAAAACAACTTTTTTTAAAAGCATTTTTATCCTTTTTTGCAAGATGCACAAAATTTCCTAATTCTCCCAGAAATGGATTAGCAGGTGGCATAGAGCTGAATCACTTAAAAATTACATGGTGTTCACTCCAGAAATGTTATGCCTGATTTACTTGCCTGCACTTGCTGCTATATGTATTAGATTTCAAATTCTGTCATACATCTAAACATTTTAAACATCCATGGGAAAATGTACAATAAATATTACCAGAGGGGTGTTTTCAAAAGAATCATTTATATTATCTATTTTAAAAGGGATGAATGCATAATCTGTGCTTGAAGGACAAAATTATGGGTTTTTTTCAATGTGTACAAGGTCACTTTTGAGCTGTGCAAGATATGCAATTGTCAATTGAATTTGGACCTAATTTTAAAAGTGTATTTTTCTAATTTCTTACAGTTTAAAGGGAGATAAACATATTTCTTCTGATATGAAGAATACGCTTGCAAAGATGATTTAAAGAAAGACATTTTAGCTGTGTGATTGTAACATACACAGTGTTTTACATAATACCTGCATGCATTTATGAATTACAGTGACTAAACTGTTAAAAATACAGTTACAGAAAAATGCTACTTGGCTTGGTAATTTGCAATTCCATTGCTGAGGTGACTGTATTATTTGTAATCCAAGGACTAATTCCAAGTCTATCTCTTAAAAACAGTTTCCAAGCATCAGCACTGGAAGTTTTCCAGAATGATAACTTGTATTCATTACTTGCTTCCTCCTTTTTAATAGAATTACTGACCCATTTTGAAAATATTAGTGTTTCAGCTCCTGGAAGGAAAGGTCTCACATGGGAAAAGATTACAAAATGCTGGGCTTTTTTACTTAAAGATTTCACTTCAAAGCCTTTGGGCCCACCATTAAATGTGAGCTTCAGAAGAGCTGGGCAAGCTCACCATCACTCTGCACCCTAAAAATGTAATCTGCAGAGGAATTCAGCTGTTGTGGATAGACCTAAACACAATTGATGCAGTCAGGGCTCAGGTCAGAAAAAACCAGCCCAAATCATTTAGCTCTGAATTAATTCTCAATTACTATTCATTATCATAATCTTAAAGACAATGAGAGAATTAACCCAGCCTCAAGTTAAGGGTTTTGAATATGCCCTCACAATGATTTCTGTGCCTTCATGCCACATCAGAACAGCCACTATCAGAAACCAGTATGAAAAAAACCACTTTGTTTCTCTACATTAGAATACCCAGCAGGATCCTCTTCTTCTGAAAAGGATGAAAAAAGGAGTTTTTCCCTTCATATTGATCTGTGTAGGCACAGCAGAATCTCAGGGAAATGAGGAGGTACTGCTAATTACTATAAGTAATAACTCCTAATTTCTCAATGCTAGTATCAATTAGTGATTGAACTTCTACTGACCCCATTTATATGATTTAATTTATAGAAATACCTAATTCATAAAACACAAGAACTTATTAAAAGTCAATATGGCATTTATGGCCATTTATGTTTTAATCATAGTCTTACATGCCACACACAAGTCAGCTGTGAATCTCTTGTTAGTGGCTTGGCAGAAATGCTGATTGTCTAACCAGTGTTGTCACCATGTGCTTATTTATATTTCTTCCTCCCTTCTCTCTCTATGCCTCACAATAATGATCCATTGATCAGTATAATTAAAGCAAGGATTAAAACCTTAAAAAGCAGCATTATTGTGTAGCGCAGAACTTGTTACTTTTGGGAATGAGGTCTAGATTTAAATTTGTTAAAATACAGCAGAGCTTTTGCAGCTGTTGAGCTCCTGGTTTTATGTGACATGTCCAGTAGTGGGGACAATCTGCCCTGGAGGGCTGCAGGATTGTACAGTCAGAGCAATGGCTTCAAAGCACTACAAAGCAATCTACCTTCTAATTGTTTAATGTTTGGCTGAGCTTTATTTGGCACAGTGCACACAGGAGAATGACACCAGGGTAATGTGGAGATGTCTTTAGGATGGCTGCCATTAGCAGCTCAGCTCAGAGAGGGTTTTGCACAGATTTCAGTAATGCTTGTGCTACTCATGTCTGGCTCACCGTGGTATCAATGACACTCGAAGGCTGCTTTATACCTGATCTCTCTCACAAGATATAAAAAGGTTTGGAAATATCAAAACTGCCCATCAAAAATAATGGGAGCCAAACATTAACTTCTGTGCCAGTGCAGGTTTTGTGTGAGGCAGGAGGATGGGGAGATAAAGGCTGCTTTGAGCACAGGAGGTAATGATGATCAGGTAAAGAGCCCACAGGGGCACAGTGCCCTATCCATTCCTGCTGCAAGGAAAGGGATTCTTTCCATGCAGCTCTTTGGGAATGAAGCCAGGCTAGCAGAGGACAAACTGCTGAAACAACAATGCTCTTACTTTAGTGAAATACCATGGCAGCAGCCAAATCTGAGCATGCACTTTTTTCCTCTTTGATCACAAACCCAAACTAGCAGAAGAAATAGAAAGTTCTGACTCGCCCTGCACATAGCAAACATTGGGGAAAGAATTGCTGTATATTAATAGATATTCCTAGGAGGAAGGCTTAATACTTAGAATAAGAGAGAAAATCCCTGGCTTTGCCTTACTATTTATTTGCTTGTGAAGCGTTTCATAATTTTATTTCTCCCTGCAGTGACTGCTCATTTTAAAATAAATGACTGAACAGTGCTTTACTGCTGACACAGATCACAGTTTGTTGCTAATGGAATGTTAACTGCTTTTTAAGTAACTCTGAATAAACCTACTGATCCATAGAATATTCATCTAAAAAGGAATCCAATTCATCTACCAGCTTTTCTGCTTCCACTGTCATGAAACATATTTTTCTACAGTTTAGTTTACTGCAGTTATTGGAATATTGGTAGTGTTAGATTTCCTGTAGAAGGATATTTTTGCATTTTGAGACCATGGCATGATGCCAGTGTGGTGAAGTCATGGCAGGAATTGATGCCAAGGTCACTGCACAGAAATATGTCTAAAAATCACTGCTTGGCTAGGGAACTAAAGACATGGAGCAAGGACAGTCTTTGACCTTTTATTTCCCTCATTATTCCATTATTAACATTTTTTCTGCAAAGTACCCATCTTCTCCTGGTAAAAAAATTAAATAAACCTGTCAGTGGAAAACCTGGCGACTCACTGCTCATCCCACCATAGTAGTACACAGCAGATGCCAACAAACCAGTCTGGCACAAGTCTTGAGTGACAAAATAAAATCAGAGATATCAAGAAGGGTAAGGCAACAAAGCAAAATCTTTCCACTTATTAAATCCATAGATCCAATTTACCAAATCTGTACAAAAATCAAAGGCTCAGTTTTCCCATTCACTGTAAGAGGCATCCAGGCTGCCTTTGCTATAGCCCACAGGCCTGATATTGTCAGAATGAGGTAGGAAGGGTGGCTGTGTCCTGACTCCACATCTCCTTCAGTCCTCAGCGTTTTCACGTAGAGAACACTGAAGTGCAAAATATACATTGCAAATCAATGAAACCTGCAATTGTCATTCAGAAAAAAAAAAATCAACAAAAACCAAACCCAAACAAAACAACAA